ATCTCTTTTAGTTATGAATATAGTGTTACAGGCTACCTAAACCCACATCATCGCAGTCCAAAAAAAAAAAAAACATAAATCTCGATTTTTCTATATCATTTGAGCACAACGACTGACCTTTATATTGTGTGAAAAATTCTTGATGAATATACCAATAGAAATGCTCAAAAATTGCTTGGAATGAAATCTCTTTACATTAACTTGCAGTAAAATGTAATAATGTTTTGCCTTCTCCTGCAAAGTTACCATTTTGGATGTTTTTTGGATGCACAGCAACAACAAGGACTACAGATGCTTCTCAATAAATTAGAATATCATCGAAAAGTTAATTTATTTCAGTAATTCAATTCAAAAAGTGAGACTCATATAGTTTCATTACACACAAAGTGATCTATTTCAAACGTTTATTTCTCTTAATGATGATGATTATGGCCTACAGCCAATGAAAACCCGAAAGTCAGTATCTCAGAAAATTAGAATATTATATAAGACCAATTTAAAAAATGATTTTTAATACGTAAATATTGGCCTACTGAAAAGTATGTACAGTATATGCACTCAATACTTGGTCGGGGCACCTTTTGCATGAATTACTGCATCAATACGGCGTGGCATGGAGGCGATCAGCCTGTGGCACTGTTGAGGTGTTATGGAAGCCCAGGTTGCTTTGATAGCGGCTTTCAGCTCGTCTGCATTGTTGGGTCTAGTGTCTCTCATCTTCCTCTTGACAATATCCCACAGATTCTCTATGGGGTTTAGGTCAGGTGAGTTTGCTGGCCAATCAGTGATACTGTGGTTATTAAACCAGGTTTTGGTACTTTTGGCAGTGTGGGCAGGTGCCAAGTCCTGCTGGAAAATGAAATCTGCATATCCATAAAGCTTGTCAGCAGAGGGAAGAATGAAGTGCTCTAAAATGTCCTGGTAGACAGCTGCGCTGACTTTGGACTTGATGTAACACAGTGGACCAACACCAGCCGATGACATGGCTCCCCAAAGCATGACTGATTGTGGAAACTTCACACTAGACCTCAAGCAGCTTGGATTGTGTGCCTCTCCACTCTTTCTCCAGACTCTGGGACCTTGATTTCCAAATGAAATGCAAAATTTACTTTCATCTGAAAACAGGACTTTGGACCACTGAGCAACAGTCCAGTCCTTTTTCTCCTTGGCCCAGATAAGACGCTTCTGATGTTGTCTCTGGGTCATGAGTGGCCTGACACAAGGAATGTGACAGTTGTAGCCCATGTCCTGGATACGTCTGTGTGTGGTGGCTCTTGTGAATCTCCCCCAAATTCTTGAATCACCTTTTCTTGACAATCCTTTCAAGGCTGCAGTTATCCCTGTTGCTTGTGCACTTTTTTCTACCACACTTTTTCCTTCTACTAGTAAATATAGCCTTTTGATTTTTAGCTAGCTACATTAGCGAGCTAGATAAAATCAAACTGTTAGCAAACTTGCTAGATTAGCAATGAGCTCAGCAGCCTCTGTTTTGTGATTTTACCCAGTCTTAGAGGCTGCATACCACTTTCACACACAGATACATGTTACAGATGGTATTATTAGGACAAAACCTGTCTTGAGCTGACGTGTTTTTCAGAGTTGACAAAAACATCTATAACTGAGTCATAGTGTTAGCATAGAGGCTATATATAAGTTGTCTTTTCAGGAATGGCACTGGTGTCAAGCTTTACAATTTTTACACATTCTAGACTTAATTCTTGTTTTGTAATCCTCATAATCTCCTTTTGTGTGGGATATTAGTTTCCAATAAGCTGGACGTGTCTGCAAGCTGTGTATCAAATTGCGCTGGAGGGGCTGGCGTGTTCTGTTAGCCAATCAGAGAAATGGCTAATGAATATGCATAAGTGCATGTGACACACTCTGAAAACAGCAAAACAGCATTTGCTTTGCAAACAGGCACAAGGCCTCAGAAAATGGATATCTAGATATACAGAGAAGTGGTTATATTGAATAGAAAAAATGCTGTTGAATAGGCCAAAAGAAATGAACAATGAAAACAAGAAACAAAATTCATGCACCGTGGAGGTTGGTGAGTCATAGTGAACAGCAAAGCTGTTTAAAGGAAGATTAAAATAATGGCTCAACTGAAAATATCATTTACACAGTTTTCCTAGTACCTCAAATGTAGTGGATCAGCCAAGACATATTTGGTGTTTGATGTTTGTTTTTTTTAGGCTAATATAATAGAGATCTGCATCACCCAAATGTTTTCTTTAAAGATCAGAATGATTTTTCTGTGAACCATTGTTTATTTTTAAGGTTGAAATGTGTTAGCCAGCTCCAAAAAGGGGCATAATTTAAGGTAACATTGTGTGTTTCCTGATATGTTTATGAATTGTATTGTCTTGAAACTGCAAAAACCTCATGGAACCAGTTCACATTCATAATGATACAGTAATTTTTGCAAGTCATCATAAGCTGACAACCTGCTGTCAGAGCACAGCTTAACGTGCAGTTTAGATCAGGAAGTGATAAAGAGCCGCTCCAACTTCCTTTTTATTCTCCTTTCTCAGAAAGTTATTTTCATGCTGTATGCATTTTAGTCATAGACATCTTCTATTAAAGGAATACTCAAGCTTATTTCAACCTAATGTCTGTCTGCTGCATCTGTAGCATACGGTCGGGTACTGAAGACAGTAATTCTGATGCATTTCCCTGTACTTAGTTATCTGCTGACTCAAAACCTGCAATTGGAACCTATGGGCAGATGCTGGGTTTTCGGTTCTTTTCTAAGTACAGTGAAATTTTTGTCTGTGGTGACTTACTGAATGCTACATAGTGCAGCAGATAGATATTAGGTGGGAAAGTGCTCAAATATTCCTTTAGAGGGGGATTGGACAAAGCCATTCAGAGTAGTTTGGTGTGAAATGTGCCATTCTAAAAAAACTTACCGAGTGGTGGTGATGGGAACCAGACGTCTGAAGAGTTTAACGTTTCTAAAAACTTCACATAAAAAAATCTTAGCCTCAAACTGTTACAACTGCATTACCTGATGTCTTAGACATTGTTTTACTATACTTTGGGCTTATAACATATTTTCTTTAGTCCATACGGAAGGGTACATGTAGCGAGTTAAAGGCAAAATACTTCTTAAACTGTTTTTTTTTACCAATATCAGCATCATATAAGAAAAACTCAGACATGCAGATTTACATTTTGGATAGCAAATAAAATACATTAGCATTGTAGACATCACCACTCCTGGTTCCTATCCCTCAAAGCGGAGTCAGTAGGTTCCTCCACAATGCACAAATGACTTCATTTACATCGGCAGAGTTTCCCTATTAAGCAAATAGTTTGCTTATCACATGACAAAAGCCAAACAAGGAGTATGAAGGCTGCTTCTCTGCATTATCTGCTGTCAACTACTTCTAAATATCATGTACTGTTAAAAAGATCTGTCACGATTACTACATGATCACCTGATTGCAATTATTGAGATGATCGCTCTTACTTTACAATTAGATTTTAAGTAACTTTCACAGTCATGTTTACATCACAACAAACAAAATGTGAATTGGGTGTGTGTTTATCAGTTAGGTTGAGACAACACTAAGTTCTCTATCCTTCTAAGCAGTGTTCCCTCCAAATGTTTAAGTGCGTTCTCTGTAGAGGACGTGTTCAAAATCAACAAAACATGCAGTTTGACGAGGGGTATTCAACATACAGCTGTAGCTTGGATATGAACCTATGTCCTGTATGGTGTCACACAGCACTTTGAGGTTCATGGTCTGTATTTTTTTTATATTGACACGTCTCTGATAGACACTCTGAGTGACAAACCATAGAAGTCTGTAAATATCTTGATGTTGAGGTGAACATGTTTTATGGTTTCTACAACCTCAGTAAGTCTGCATGGTAACAAGCAGGCTGATGCCTTTGCTTTGATCATCATCACTGACAGTGTGTCTCTGCTCTCGGCTGAAAGATCTCACGACTGTCATCGTGAAACATCTCAGTGTTCAATGAGCCATTTGGCTGTGATGTGTGAAAAGATTTGATAAGCGCCATGTTTCCAGGGCAGTAGGTGTAAATTTGAGGCATGTTTTTTTTTTTTCCTTTTCACAAAGGATGCCACATGCTGACCAGCCATGTCATCAGGAAATGAACAGGGAGCTAGTCTGTTATTTCTGATCGCCATCTTCTTCTCTTCTCTGTAATTAAGTCTAATCGGAGAGCTGCACTTCACAAGGCTTTTTCTTTGCCAGGAATTAAATTAGTGTGGGACTTGTGTGTGCGCATTTTCCTTAGATAACAAACTGTGAAGTGTTCTTTATTCTTGTGGCTGTAAAAGGACAAATCAGGGAACATATACAGGGGAACGTATATATATACAGACCACCTTTATTTAAACCCAGTAGACCACCAAAACTGTCATCATCAGATGAACAGTAAATTAAGCTTTCATCTTTAAGTGATGTAATAAGAAGTAAGAAAATCAAGCTTCACTTTTGCTTCAGATCTGAAAATAATCCACAAGTGTTTCTGGACATCCTTCTGTCAAGAAGCCTTAAATGAGAAAATGAAATTTTACAAATCAAACAAAGAAGCTGCTGGCCAGAAAAAGAGCACTAGACTAGCCAGACCTGTTGAGTCCAGACTTCAACATCACTGATCGTGAGAAGCAGAGAATGTAACCAACTTCTAAGACTGAACTTGGGAAATGTGAACAATATATCTCGGCAGATTTTGAACAACTGAGAGCAAGTGTTCTGAAAAGAATGGAAGCTGTAATAAAGGCAAAAAGTGGACACACTAAATACCAAAAGATTTGATTTTTTTTTTTGTTAAGGTGTAATTTTATGTAACTTAATTTTAGCTGCCACTGAAAAAGGAATCATTAAAATAGCTGTTTTTACTTGGTCTCTGTTTTTTGCTCAGCACTGTATAGTTTGCTTCTCCAAGTTTTGTTGGGTTTGTTTTCATGTATCTTTTTAAGGTTGACTCTTCTTTTGTCTCCTCTTTTTTTAATTTCCCAGAACAAGGTGGTGTCAGTGGATAACATGAAGGTCAAACTCCAGGTCAGTGATGACAAGCTACTTCCATTCTACTCCACATACTCCATTCTACTCCACATCTTAAAAATAAAAGTGCCAAAAAGGTTCTTTGGAGCGATGCCATTAGGCCTGGGCCGGGGGCAGTGATAGATGAGTATCCCGATGATGATGCTTCAAAGGTTATAATTGCCATGTTAGAAAAGTGACAAAAAACTGGAGAGGACTAACTTTATCTTGAACAGCCTGTTAAATATTATTAAATAATCTGTACATGTAATGTTTTATTCCCTTTTTACTGTTAAAACAATGGATTATTAAGGGGCATTAATAAATTGTTAGGTCATGGTAGAGTATTTTATTCTGACTTTGGTTTGACATACTGGCTATTTTCTCTACAGCTTAAGTGCCTCAACGTTTTAGATAATTTGCTTCAAGGTGTCCTCACAGGCATGTATCGATTAATTCCAGAACATTTTCACTGCAACAGAAAAGGCCCATTGTTGTTTTTTATTAATTGTATGTAAAACACATGGACATAGTTGTGGAAATCACTCGTTCACTCATTTACTCGCACACGTTCAGCAATTTGAAGTTTCTCCACAAAGGGGAGCTAGTTGCTTTTGTATGACATTTAAAGACAATATAATTGATCATTTCTGTTTTTAACATGAATATATCATGCTAATTAGTTTTAGATGTCGCCCAGGCCTACATGTCATAGAAGAACCACTTTTGGTTCACAAAAGAACCCTTCAATGGATGATTCATCACAGAACCACTGTTGTATGAGATGTGCGAGTGTAAAGGTTCTGTACTGATTCATTTTTTCTTACATTCGTACGACCAAGCCAAGACCCATTTAGGATCCTTCATCTTAGAGAGTGTACCGCAGTGTTCATCCATAATTATGGGTTTCATGCAGCACGATGAGGACAAAACAGTTCGTTTTGTCAGAATTTTTACCTCTGCACTTACGAGACAGCTCTGCAGAAATGTTCAAACATCCACCAAATGTACCTCTGCCATTTTTCTGATCTTTCTCATTCTTTGGATGCCCTTTTGTGGCAGCCCACGCAGCATCCTAGCTCTGCATACTGGGTTCTCACTCACTGAGCACAATTGAGCAGCAAAAATACAGTCTGCTTCCCGGAAGACTAGCTTCAGGTTATTAGTGTGAATTGGTTGTTACATAACATTTGCTATCTTTGGCATAGTTTGTATGGTGGGTTCATAGTCATCCTTAGCTGTCTCTTCATACAGAGATGGGCTTTATCAAGTCTCAGTAGAGTGCAAGCTACATGCCAAGGAGCTCTCATAGTTCATATCTAATTGAAGTTCTGTTTTTCCTCTCTTTTCAAAGAAATTAACCTTGATATTTACCCAACACTTATGAGATTAAAGCACAGTGTTGCTGTATTTTAAGTAGGCTTTGGATCAGATACTGGTATTAATTGACTGGATCGTTTTACTGTGGACCTTTTTCTGCAGATTTGGGACACGGCTGGGCAAGAGAGGTTCCGCAGTGTCACTCATGCGTACTACCGAGATGCACAAGGTAACATAGTTTAAACTTCTGTAATATACACAGAGTTGCCTGAGTTTATTACGTACACCTATCTTACTCCACCTACTCCAATTATCAGACACCTACCATAACCAGAACAATGCAAAAGTCAGAGACCACTCATCAATTATTTAATTTAAAGTTAGTGCAGCCATTGAATCATTCGTTCTTAGGACATATTTCAGAGAAAATTAAATATAAGATAATCCCCTTGCATAAAGAAGGAAAAAAGGACAATAACTGAAAACAGGAGTTTCCAAAACTAGACTTCAAAAATGATTAAAAGAGGCAGAGAAAATGAGACTCTTAACAACCATGCAAGGCCTGATAGACCACCAAAACTGTCACCTTCAGATAAACAGTGCTTAAAGCATTCATCTTTGTGAGAGAGAAGAAAATCAAGCTCCACTCTTGCTTTAGATCTGAAAAAAAATCCAGGTGTTTTTGTCCATCCTTCCACTGTGAGAAGACATCTCAACACTGAGTCTGAAAGGATGTGCAGTTGTCAAGAGTCTATTGAGAGAAGGAAATAGACAAAAAGAATAACATTTGCAAATCAAACAAACAAATTTATGGTCTTCTCAGAAGACCATAAATGACCACCCCACTGACCACCCCAAAGTCCAGTTAAATGTGTTTGGGATTATTTGGATTGTGAGAAGCAGAAAATGCATTGGACTTTAGAGGAGTTGAAAGCAAAGTGAAAAACTGGAAGCAGGCCTCCTGAAAAGAATGAAAACCATAATGCAGGCAAAGTGTGGACACATTAAATACTGAACATAATTAATATTATACTTAGTTGTTCAGGCTTCTGTGTAATTTTCTGTACTTTTTTCTTGATACTGAAAAATGAGTAACTTTTAAACTGGAAATTAAATAATACATTAATAATAATTAAATATTTTTTACACAGTGTTGTAGATGCACTTTGTAGGTTTACAGTTACTGATTGTAGCCCATCTGTCACTGTACAGTTTATCAGCCACCCTTTACCCTGTCCATCACTGGAAAGGGACCATCATAGGGCCAAAGCTGACCAGATATTGTTTAGGTGGTGAACCAATCTCAGCACAGCAGTGACCTGGGGTTTTTAAACACCTGCAGAGTGTCGCTGCAGAGTTAAGAACAGGTTGCCAGCCAAAAATATCCAGCAAAGGTTCTGCTGTCAGAAACTGCCCACTGATGAAGAGCTAGAGGATAACTAACACAAATTGTGTACCAAGAAAGATGAACAGCAGTCTCTAAGTTGCATCAGCAAGACAGTTGTGTCCAATAAAGCTGTCAGTAAACATATACTGTGCTTAAAAGCTCCAGCAACAGTTTTGCACGTTGTACATGTGAAGTTGCAACCCACGCACTACTATGCTACTGCTATGTTAGTGTCACTGCTGTGCTGATAATGATCCACTACTCAAAATAAAAAAATGATGAAGTGAGTATGTTGATTATTTTGGAACAACTGCGCATGTGGAGGTCTGGGATGTATTAGACGGTCAGCGAGCTGGATGCGGAAAATGGGAAGGCATGAAGACCTGAACAACTTGGACAAGGGGCAGATTGTTGTGGTCACACGACTGGGTTGAAGCATCTCTGAAGTGGCAGGACTTGGGGAATGCTCCCGGTCAGCAGTGACAGCAGTCTGAGGAAGGACAAACCATGAAGCAGCAAAAGGGTGTTGGGCGCCCAAGGCTCATCAATGCGCAAGGACAACGAATGCTATTCTGTCTTGTCTAAACTAACAAAAGAGCTGCTGTGGCACAGAAATTTTCAACGATGGTTACAGGAGAAATGTCACAACACACAGTGTGTCCCACCCTGCTGCGTATAGAGCTGCATATTTGCGGATCAGTTGTCCATGCTAACCCCACTCCACCATCTAAAGCGCCTACAATGGCCACGCAAGTATCGGACCTGGACTTTGGAGCAATAGAAGGAGGTAGCCTTCCAGTGAGTCCTGTTTTCTTTTACATCACATGGACAGCCAGGGGAAGTGATGGCACCAAGATGCACTGTAAGAGGAAGAATGGTGGAGGAAGTTTGATGCTCTGGGCAATGTTCTGCTGGGCATGCCTAGGTCTAGACGTTTATGTAGAGGTCAGTTTGGCATGTGCCACTTATCTAAACATCAGTGGGAACCATTGCTATGAAGGGATGTACAACAATAGTATCCCCCGATGGTAAAGGCCTCTTTTAGCAGGATAAGGATAGGAGTTGAAGGCGTTGGCTTGGCCTCCAAATTTCCCAAATCATAATCCAATTATCTGTTGAATGTGCTGGAACAAGAAGTCCAATCCGTGGCAGCTCCACCTTTAACTTACAGTACTTAAAGAATCTGCTAACGTCTTGGCGCCAGATACCACAGGGCACCTTCAGAGGTATTGTAGAGTCCGTGCCATAGTGGGTCAGAGCTGTGTAGGCAGGTGGTCATAATGTTTTAGCTCATACCTTTTAAGTACAACCCCAGTTCCAAAAAAGTTGGGACGCTGTGTAAAATGTAAATTAAAACAAAATGCAATGATGTGCAAATAATTTAAACCTTATATTTAATTACAAATAGTACAAAGACAACATATCAGATGTTAAAACTGAGAAATTTTATTGTTTTTTGAAAAATATATGCGCATTTTGAATTTGATGCCAACAACACGTTCCAAAAAAGTTGGGATGGGGGCAACAAAAGGCTGGTAAAGTTGTGTAATGCTAAAAAAAAAAAACCTGGTGGTTGATTGGCAACAGGCCTGTAACATGATTGGGTATAAAAGAGCATCTCAGAGAGGCTGAGTCTTTCAGAAATAAAGATGAGGAGGGGTTCACCACTCTGTGAAAGACTGCATGAACAAATAGTGCAACAATTCAAGAATAGTTTGTTTCTCAAGGTAAAATAGCAAAAAACTTCATCATCTACTGTACATAATAACAAAAGATTCAGAGAATATGGAGAAATCTCTGTATGGGACAAAGCCAAAAACCAGTATTTGCAGGCCATGATCTTTGGACCCTCAGGTGGCACTGCATTAAAAACAGACATGATTCTGTAGTGGAAATCACTGCATGGGCTCTTCTGAAAACCACTGTCTGTGAACACAGTTCATTACTGCATCCACAAATGCAAGTTAAAACTCTAAAATGCAAAGACGAAACTGTACATGAACAGGATGCAGAAATGCTGCCACTTTCTCTGGGCCCGAGCTCATTTAAAATGGACTGAGGGGAAGTGGAAAAGTGTCCTGTGGTCCGACAAATCAACTTTTGAAATTCTTTTTGGAAAACATGGACGCTGTGCCCTCTGGGCTGAAAACCCCTCAGCTTGTTATCGGCGTACAGTTCAAAAGCCAGTATTCATGATGGTATAGGGGTACATTAGTGCGCATGACATGGGTGACTTGCACATCTGTGAAGGCACCATTAAAGCTGAATGATATATATAGGTTTTGGCAACATATTCTGCCATCCAGACGACGTCTTTTTCAGGGAAGGTCTTGCTTATTTCAGCAAGACAATGCCAAACCACATTCTGCATGTATTACAACAGCATTGCTCTATATTAAAAGAGTCTGGGTGCTAAACTGGCCTGCCTGCAGTCCAGACCTGTCACCCAATGCAACAAATGAGACCCTGACCTGTTGAGCACCTGAAATCCCATATCAAGCAAGAATGGGAAACATTTCTCTTTCAAAACTACAGCAATTGGTCCTCCTCAGTTTCCGAACGCTTACAGTGTGTCGTTAAAAGAAAAGGTGATGAAACACAATGGTAAACATGCCCCCGTCCCAACTTTTTTGGAGTGTCTTGTTGGCATCAAATTCAAAATGGGCATATATTTTTCAAAAAACAATAAAAATTTCTCAGGCTCAACATTTGATATGTTGTCATTGTAGTATTCTCCTTTAAAGTATGGTTTACATGATTTGCGTATCATTGCATCCTATTTTTATTTACATTCTGCACAGCGTCTCAACTTTTTTGGAATTCAGGTTGTAAATTGTGCAGCAACAAATGGGCTTCAGTCAGTCATTTTATACATGCTGAGTGCACCTTTAGCTGTTTATGATAAAATGGCCAGTGAGTGTAGGTACAAAGTAACTAATAAACCAATAACTTGGTGTATAATAATCTATATAGACTTTTGATTTTGGTGTAGTGTTGTCATTCTGATGCTGATGTTTGGCAGTGGTGGATGTTTATACCAGTAAAATCACTGAACTACAGTAGCTACACTTGAGATGTTTGTGGTCAACTTGTTGTTCTCGCCCCTTTAGCTCTCCTACTTCTGTATGACATTACAAGAAAGTCGTCATTTGACAACATCAGGGTAAGAGTTGCAAACCCTGTTTTTTTTCTTCGATTACATGTAGCTTGAGCGAGAAGCGATTTTCTTTTCACAAGCATCGTTCGCCTCAGTTGTGACAAGCATTCATTTTCAAATGGCAACTCAATTTTTTTTTCTTCCTGCAGTGCTCACGCACCATTAATTTTTTTTTCCCTCATGTGTGTCACCATGCAGGCCTGGCTGACTGAAATTCATGAGTATGCACAGAAGGATGTGGTCATCATGTTGCTTGGCAACAAGGTAAGTGGGACTTCCTGGGAGGAGAAAAGAAAGACAGATTAGCAGCCCCCACCCCCCCAACCAACCCCCTGAAAGTAAAGACCTCAAGCGCGTGCTTGTTTTTGACACTTGCTGGGTTTCGTCCTTATTTCCGGAATTTATATTTTAGTGTTTATGCATAAGTAATGCACTGCGTCTGTTAATGCACTCACAAAATATGCAATTGTGACAAAGAATAGCACCTCTGGAGGGATTTACATGCAAAAAAATGCCAATGGAACCAGCTATTGTTGAAGAAGCATTGAATTGCATCCATGCTCTCTTTGAGCAAAACATTAAACAGCTTTTATTTCCACAGTCACAAAGAGAGCAGGTAGAGAAACCCCCAACACAATCTAGATCTGAGCCCTTCATCAGGTTACAGGCTGGGTTTTAACTTGTCCCGTTCTAAGCCATGGAAATAATACTTGTTAAGGATTAGAGCTTTTTTGTATTTTTTTTTCAACTGGCTGACTTATTTAGACTGTACAATATATATATATATATATATATATAAACTTGTGCAAATATAAAGTACAATCAAAATAGCTGCTTCCTGTGTAGTTTGCTTTTGAATCAGAGGTTCAAAGGACTCTGCATGGCTGCTGTTTGCTTGTGATAATGGCAGCAGGCACCGCGTTTAATCCACAATTTCTTAATGAATTTCTTTTGAATGAGTTTTGTTGTTCACATAAATACAGCGTGTCTTGAAAACACAATATCCAGTCAAATCAAAATATTGGAACAAGGGATTTTATAGCTACATTATTATTATTTTACATAATGAAATACCATGTCATGGATTCTTTTGGCTGTCTTTTTTTTTAATAATAACTATTGTATTTTTAGGAGAAATAGTCTGTTCTGACAATACATTTAAATAGGATTTATTCTTAACTGTGAGGAGGAGGGTGTTGCCTATTACTTAATGATAGGGACAACAGTGCCCCCCAGTGGTGCATTCATGCAGGAAAGTGAGATGTCAGGCCCATTTTAGCTTATTTATTTAATTCCATATAAGCACTGTTTAGGTTTTCCATCATGTATATTGCCATTATTTCCATTATATCCAAAAACTGTTTGGATCCATTGGTTAAACTGAGAAACTTGCCCCCCTTAAGAACAGTGTCCTTTTACTGTGAAATTAAACAGTGTCTGTGCACATGTACAGGATGATGTTGCATAAACCTACACACAATTAGGAGAAATAAACTGGAGCTGCAGTCAGTTTTGTCTTTTATAGCACCACAAAGAAAATCTTTAAATTGCCCCCCTTCCTGGGGTCATAACTCCCCTCTAGTGAATTTTAAATCATTTTATCATTTAGGTTTTACAGAGTGTATAACTTATATGTCAGATCATTTGTAGTCTTTGCTTTTCTCAAAAATTGTTTTTAAGCAAAGAAATGCTATATTTAAAAATGAAACGAAGGCTTCTATCAGCTTATGTCCACTTTATTTTAATAAGTTACAACAAATGACAGTAAAATAGAAACCTAATGTCAATTTTGTTATAATTAAATAGGTTTGTATTAACTATAGTTGTGTTTTTATTATTATATGTATGTAAATTCATTAGGTTGCATTATTATTAGTAGTAGTAGTAGTAGATAGGGCTGGGCAATATGGTTAAATTATAATGCACAATAAGCTACTTGATGACATTTTCACAATGGTTTTTCTGAGGTTTGAATAACTGTAACTGGCAAAATCCCAAATAGTTCCACAACTGCTACTAAATTATGTATTTTTAATCATTTGTTTATTCTATGTTTCACACACTGCACTTCATTAAATCCAGTTAAACAAGATGATTTATGTTCTTGTTATATATATAAAATGTGGTTTTAAATACTAATGAAAAGCATATTGTGACATTTTTCACAATAATAATGATTTAAATCATGCATTAGCATTAAACGCTCAGTTTGTAAGTGTAAATGATTATTAGACCTGACAGAACAGATGTGGATGTAACTCTGTTAAGTTGTAAAACTCACATACAAACTCATCTCCAATAAAACATCTATAAAGTTGCCTAATTCTAGATAACGATCACCATAGTTAGCATGTAAAGCTAATGCTAGCTAGTCAGTGAAACTCAAGAGTACAACTTTGTGTTTTTTATGGTGAAAATCTAACTAAACAATATCACTTGGGGGAAATTAAAGACAGCCATGTGCCCCATGTCTCGGGGGACTTCTTACCCAAAATATTTAAGTTTAGACTAAGATCCTTTTGCTTTGAGAGACACTGTACCTTCATTATGTTTGTTGTAGTAAAATAAATGACTGATTATTCCATTTTCTCATTACTAAAACAATCATAATACTGCAGAAACTTTACCGAATGTTTTGGTACTGAAAATTTTAGGTAAGTTTGAGAACTCAAAAACACTGGCAAGTACATGACTAGCTAACACAGCTTTGAACAGTTGTACACACATAAAATCATAATATTTTTCACTAAATTTGACTTATTTGCAGAAAATGTGTGTTTTGGTAGTGACAATTTTAATGTTACACTCTGATTCACATTGCACATTAACTTCAAAACAACAAGATCTAACTGCTCATCATTTGGCCATGAGGGACAGCTCCACCTATGGACTAAAGCTCTTTGTGTTTCAGTGGTGATGGAAACATGGGACAGCATTTTTTGAGTAAAGCTTAATTTTACAAAAAATTATGATAAACATAAAAAATGATAAACATAAATCTGCTAACTTTAAAAGAAATAAAAAGGCTCTCTTTTTTTTATGTAAATATTACTTTTACAAGTTAGGGTTTGAGCCACCTCCCAATAGAAAGTACCCTATCATTGATGATAATGTTATATATATTTAGTTGATCACTATCTCAATGAATGCCTAGAGTTTAAATGGATGATAACATCATAATCTATATCTAAGGTCTGAATACTTTTATATTGTATTTTATTTGTATATTATATTATACATTATAATTGTAATTTTTTTATTTATTTATTTTAGCTTCTTCACCCAAGTTACCCTCTATGTGTTAAATAGTTAAATAGGGCCTTTGGATGAGTTTGAAAAGTTTGTTGACTGTGGCCCTTAAGGCATTGAGGCTTTGTTCCAGCAAGACGTGACATCCAGACAACACTGCACTTTTTCCCATTATAATGCTGGCATAGACGGTTTTATGCGGCGGTTCTGCAGTGGTGCAATAGGTGTAATAGCCTTGAATTCCAGGTCTTATTATCCACTGGATCTGCTGCACCACTGAGCTAGCATCTTCTCTCTCACACTCGAGTGGAGAGCAATGTTCAGTTACAGGCTGACTTGTTTTTTATTGGGAAAAAGTGAATGACATCTCCAAAACAAATTACTGAAATTACTGAAAACTGCATAATGAACAATTCTGTAGGAGTCAGGATTAATACACAACCCTGAAACTTGTGGATTACATCATCTTGACTGTGTTTCTGAGTCCCAGTCATAACTTTGAATTTAATAATAATTTTTCCTTACAAAATGATAGTTATTCCATCATAACTTGATATGGAGTCAGCAGCCTCCAGTCTTTTGCAGAATGTTTGACTGGTGATGCAGTGTCCTGTTTAATGCACTGAGTCAGCTGTAAAATCTGAATGATTCTCATCAACGGCTGTCTGCATTCCTACAGTCAGACATGGCGGCTGAGCGAGTTATCAAGCATGAGGAGGGACAGAAGCTGGCTAAGGTAGGACACCTTTAAGCCCCCCTACACCACTCCATCCTCTTTTTAAAGAATGTCAAAAAACATAAACACTGTTGACTGTTAATATTAGCCATTCCGAAGCAGTGCTAAACTGTTGCACTGCACTGTGTGGCTAGTTATTGCTTAAACAGTCCATGACTTTCTCTTATTTCAAACAAAAGGAGTATGGCGTTCCCTTCATGGAGACAAGTGCCAAGACTGGTCTTAATGTGGAGCTTGCATTCCATGCTATAGCAAGGTAGGCTGCTTTATTAAAGCTATGAGAAGTTCATTTCTGTGGCTTGCTTGTATTTATTGCTAATTCACAACCAGTCCTATAACTTGACCAGAAAATCAAATAATGACACTTTGTGAGCTTAAATAGTATGGAAAATAAAATCATTTCCAAGCAGCAGCCTTCAGTTCATATTATCATGCCATGTTACATGCCTGCTTGGGGAAAAAATGAAAACACGCTGTCAGGATAAGGGGTACAAACCAGGTACATTTTAGTTCCCCAATGTACAAACAATGTAAACGCACCCTCAAAGATGCATTGTCCTTCAAAGGGAAATCCACCAATTTTTTAAAAATTCTGTGTAATTCACTCACTGATATGTAAACAAAGGCATTTAAACTTACAGACTCTTAATTTCTTTACAGTGGTGGTGATAGGAACCAGGGAACGTGATAATTTAGAACACAAATATAGCCATTTTATTTACTGTCCAAAACCACCAGTGAACCTACACATATCATCTGAGGCTTTCTATGTTATGTTGTTAATGATAAAATTTAGGTAAGTCTGACAAATGAAGTTTTCTTTGCGGACTACTTAGCCTCACAACTTTCGACTATGAATGTGTTTTTTTTTTGTTTTTTTTTTTAAACATTTTAAACCAGAATTTTATCTGTTCCATTCATTGTCTTATATTTCTGGATAATTAAATAACTGAGATGTAAACAGTCATTCAAAGTGGTTTGATGTGAAATGCTCTGTTCTAGAGAAACTTGCTGTCAAAATTGTTAATAGTTTTGCTGATAGGAATCAAACGACTGAAGCATTTAATGCCTCTAAAAGCTCCCTCACAGAAAGTTATTAGACAAGTGCTTATGAATGCACTACCTGATGCCTGAGACATTTAGTTTGGGAACACTTTGGTCTGAAATGTATGTTTTTTACAACCCATTAATGGCAGAGAAGTAGGCAGTGAAGTACACACAGAGTGTTATAAGGTTTTATTCCAAGTGGTTTGGAACGTTTCTATTAGTCTATTTATAATAAAATTTTCACACAATGTAAAGGGCAACTGGTGTGCTCAAATGATTTAGAAAAAAAATAAACACTGGAGGCAGGTATAGATTTATTGCCGGATTTAGATAGTAATTAAAGTGGCTATATTTGCATAGCAGACAGTGCAACCCTCTGGTTCCTATCGCCACCACTGCAAAGCAGTCTGAGTTAGTAAGTTTCTCTGGAATGTAGTGTTTCACATTATTTTATAACTTACATTTATGCAGAAATACTGAAATATTGGTGGAATTCCCCTGTGGAAAGGAGCATATTTGTACTTTTTCTTATAACTTGCACCGATCAGGCATAACATTACCTCCTTATTTCTGTGCTCATTGTCCATTTTATCAGCTCCACTTACATATAGGTGCACTTTGTAGTTCTACAATTGCAGACTGTAGTCCATCTGTTTCTCTGCATACTTTGTTAGCCCCCTTTTACTCTGTTCTTCAGTGGTCAGGATCCCCATGGACCCTCACAGAGCAGGTACTATTTGGGTGGTGGATCATTGTCAGCACTGCAGTAACACTGACGTGGTGGTAGTGTGTTAGTGTGTGTTGCGCTGGTCTGAGTGGATCAGACACTGCGTAGAAACAAGGAGGTGGTCATAATGTTATGCCTGATTGGCGCATGTTATTGTTACATAGAAAAATGAAACAAAATGCCTGGAATCAAGATGGGGTGCATGGAGTCAACGCAACCTAAAAAAATATAACTGCAACAGAATATGTACCATAAGTAAAGGTACTGCAGACATACCCTTAAGAGTGCCACCCCAGTCACACTGTTTTTAGCCTGAAAGTTTTTCTGAGTGTATAAAGTAATGCATATGTTTACTTTTTAATAATCTAATGAGTTTTTTGGTCTATGTAATTTACTTGATGTAAGCTTATTTTGTAAATATATTATGAAACAAAACCAAGAAATCATCTGCAATGCTTGTCAGTTTCGAAGATTTCAAGCATCTCTCTGTTTATCCACATATGCAGAGAGCTGACGCAGAGGGCAGCAAGTCAGCCTCATGAGCCCAAGTTCCAGATCCACGACTACATCGAGTCCCAGAAGCAGAAGTCCAGCTGCTGTGGAGGACTTATGTGACCACTCGCTCCTACACTTCAGAGAGCGAGAAAGGAAGGATGTTAGAAAGAGGAACGGTGGACTGATAACAGCAGATAATGTCAGATAAAGAAAGCGAGTAAAATGCTTGTTAGCTGGATGTTTCTGTCTAGCATTAAACCCATCTGCCCTTTACCATCAGGTGTTTACTTCCACAAATTCTTGGTCATTGTTCTCTGGCTGCGGTGAGAGAGAGAAGCTAGAAAACTGAGCCTTGACACAGATTTCTACAAGCACTGAAGGAGAGCCATAATCTCTTGTAATATTTACTGGTAATTATTAGTTAAGTTGTGCATACTTCGTAGTCACCATCTTAACTACCACCATTTGACAGTTAGAGTGATAGTTCGCTGAAAAATTACATTGACATAGTTTTCCACTTATGCCAAATACAGTCAGTTTGGTGCCCCTGGTCAAGTGACATTTTGTTGATTTGTTTGAATTTCTTTTGCACACTTCTGCACATTTTAACTCTCAGTTACTGTGTATTTGCTGAATTTATTAGACAAAAAAGTGGCCTGTGCAAAAGAATGGGACATTTTATGTTTTACTTTTTTCCAGTTTATTAAACTCAGCATATAAATAGAAATTGTGCACTACAATTTGCAGAAAGATGCCATATAATAACTTATTCTCTTAGAAACACATGTAATTTGACCAGGGTTGTGCACACTTTTGCATATGTCTGTATAGGTAATCAGTCAAGACATGTTTATTGTCTGAAGTTTGCTTCTTACGTTTTGCACAGAAGCTATGAGGCTAATGAAGCTGGATAATAAAAGCTTATTAGCAGCATCATACAGTTGTCTTTAAGAGGAAAAACTTGTGGAAATTATTTTTTTGGTCAAACTATCACTTTAATATACACTAGTGTGTAAGGTCTAGGCACTGTTCCCGAATTTAAAATGAATTGACTTATCAAAATGTTGTAAGCCATGCTTTTTGTACATAGAAAGCCATGTTTTTGAGTGACCTGTTGATGATAACTTATTTTTGTGTTTAGTGCTATTGTGGGCCAGAGGCAGAAACATTTTGTTCTGTACCTTTATATGAAGTGAACCCATGAATTTTCACATACTTTTTTTTTTTTACTGTGTAGTCAGAATTGAAAGCAAAGGTGGCTGTTTGGATATCCAGTAGGCTGTTTGTCATTTTATGGTCATGACTGTAGCGCACAGTTCACATCTCCATCTGGTTTGTAAATCAGGTCCGTCAGGTCTTTTCTGACTACTATCAGCTTTTTGCTATTGAATCGCATTGTGGAAAGGAGAGTCTGTTCCTAGATTATTGCTAATGGTCTTATTCAGTTGTTACTTGTTAGCTTTTGATGTCACGCTGATAACTTTCTGTTACAGAGATCACAAAGTGCCAACTTTGTAACTGTATACATTCTGTATAAACCTCTATTTTGTAATGTAGAGGAGTACTGCTGCAATGTGTTCCTTCTTGTGTTCTCATACACAGTGCCTGTCTTTTATAGCAGATGAACTTTCATCACCAAATAATTAGCATTACCGTGTATAGTATCACTACGCTGAGTGACACAAGAGAGTCAATACAAATTCCATACATTACCAGTTAGGAGTTCATACAATTAGAAACTGCACAAAGCAAATAATAAAATAGCACATTACGAGACGCAAATTTAACTGAGACAGCAGCTCCCTCCTCCATTCATTGATGAATCACCTAAATATGATCAATAAGACAGCTATGTGCAAAGATTATTTAACTTGTGTGTTATATATGACTGCCCATTCATGTTGAAGTGATGAAGTGTGTTACTGCAGACACTCTGTAGCAATTATTGCTGCAGAACATGGCAGGACTTGAAACGTGGTGCTGTTCCTGGCTGTCGGGAAGCAAATGTATCATTCCACAGCTGTCTAATGGATCCAGATGTCTTAAAGGAGATGCTTAAGTTTAGTTTTTTTTGATGTGACTGTGATTTCAGTCTAAACTTAAGTTTTTTATGCCCAGACTGCTTTTTGAATGAGGCACAATACAGGACAGCCAGTCAGAACAGAGGCAATGTACATAGATTTGTCTTAAAGACACAATAGAAAATAAACTGTTGAAGGGATAAGGACAGGTTGGAATAATGTCTTGTAAAAATTATGACTTTGGCACATAAACCACAACAAATGTTATAAGGGAAAAAGACCTATATAAAAGACAATACAATCTATAATATGGGGCTCTGTACTACATACCCATTGCAGGTATCCCTTCCTAAAGGACTTTGATGTGTTTTGGACATTTTCCGAATGCACAAAACTTCATATATTAATACATGTAGGTTTAAGATTTTTTTCCATTGTTTTCTCCAGCTGTGACTGGTTTGCACAATAAAGTATGATCAGGTGTATTTGTGTACACTGATTTGTCCGCGATAATTGTCAACATTCATAGAAACGTAATTTTTAGGCCTACTTTTCCTTGCAAAGGTCAGTATATTCCCATTGTACATTGGTTCATTCTCTTTTCGTGCTCTGTTTTCTGGTTTCAATGTAAATTGTGTTCGAGAACACACCCCAAGCCAGGCTTGTTCAGGGAACTGTAGCTGGCTGGCTCACTCAGTATTTAGCAACTTGAAGTGCATTGTTGTTGGTTGTGATAATGCTCCCTGAGAGCACATAATATTGTCCATTGCCTCTAATTTCCACTGAGATACCAAGATCTGTGCAATGTGGTCACAAGTGATACAGCACCCTGAATATGGTGCTGATATTATGGAAGCCTGTTTTTGCCAGTGGAAAAAATATATAGTCATTTAGTAAGTCATAATAATGAGGAAGTTTCCCATAATTATGACATAGTATCTCATAATTATTACACAGGAAATCCTAATTATGAAATATGTAATAATACTAGGGTCTTATAATTATGATGTACTATCGCATAATAATGAGATCCTAGCTCAATGCTATGACCTTCTATCTCTATGAAGTAATCCCATAATCCCCTCAATCCTATTTCTTATTTTTACCCCACCCCTTGTTTTCGTTGCTTACTTTGGCCTTTGGGACTGAGTTACAAGGTGTAGTGGTTCGAAATCTTCTCCTATGAAATGGGACAAACCTCAAATAAAAGAGAACATTACTTCATTAACAGGCTGCCAGCGGTGCTCTGTAGGTGACGCTGGCAGTCTGCAGTGACAGCAGAGGAGGGTAAAGTTCAGCAACCTCACTGATGGGCTTTAGCTACATTTAGGGAGTCATATGCCTTCAAAGAGGACGGGATGCGACAAATATTTATTATCCCTAATCACCCCTTATTCTTGGGAAAGAAAGCTGGTCACCAGCTTCTTGTTTGAATTTTCCCATTCCACCTTAAATGGTGCAGCTGTTACATTATGGCACTTCAGGCATCAGTACTGCTCTACCATTTAAGATGGAACAGCAAATTTAGCTAGCTAGCTACCGAGACATCAGCGTACTACTAGCGTTTTTATGCTTATTTTGAAGAAAAGGATCATAATACATTGAAACGACATTAAACTAAGATAATACAACGGTTATTGTAATTTTAACTGAAAAAATACTCCCATTTGTGGGTTTCTTTGGTTGCTTGCGCAGCCATTTTGCTGGTTTTTCTTTATTTTTCCCATAACACTCTGTTTGGAGTGTGCCTCTAAAAACCCTTTGATTGGAGGGCCATGTAGCCCTAACACTTCGCCCTGCCCCACTATCTCAACAAATTCTGGGACACCCTTACCCCTAGGCGTGAACACAAAAAAAGAGGGGTAAGGACTAAGTGGTAGGGGCAAGGGATGAAATGTGATTAGGCCATGGATTCTCACATTGAGAATCCATCTCAATTATGATTTAGCATCTCATAATTATGACTTACTTTGTCATAATTATGACTGAGTATCTCATAATTAGTTCTCAAAATTGTAAGTATTTCACAATTTTGACTTGCTGTCTCATAATGAGCACCTCATGATTATAATTATGTTTAAGTATCATAATAATATCTTCACATTTCATAGTTATGAGTAAGTGTTCTCATTGTTATGACATACTAAATGGCCTTTTTCCCCCCAAGTATAATACCAACACTGAGGTATTAAAAAAAAAAAAGTCTGCACTGATCACTTTGAGGATTTGTACCCACTGTTTTCTCCACAGACTCAGTTACAATCTATGGAGGTAGGTTTGTTCTTGAGTTACATTTGTAAACATTTGGTCTTCATACTCTTCTGCAGATGACATATTTGTATGAATATGGGTTGCTTAGCGATTCAGCGAGAGGGAACACACGCCTAGGAAGTACCCTGGAACAGGGGATGAATACATTTGTGTAGTTGGAGTATTTAAAGGAAGATAAAACTAGATGCTTTATTAAGCCTCTGGAATGTCTTTTTCAGAAAACAGTGTTGACAAAGTCATTACAAGGTAAATTTTTGTCTGTATCAGTTGAGGCGTGTGTGTACAATGTGTGTGATAAGTATTTTGCCACTGAAAAAGTTAGGACAGTAGGTAAAACGCAAACAAAACCAGCAATTTATAAATCTACTTTGACTCATATATAAACAAAAGTGGTTCAAATACAAGATATGTAATGCTTTGCTTTATCAACTTTTTCTGTAAATATAAGCTATTTCTGAAATTGATGCTTGCAACAAGTTCCAAAAAAGTCGGGACAGGGGCGATTTCGGACTAGAAACATTTGAAGATTTAAAAACATCTTAAACAGGTGATGCAGTCATGCCTGTATATAAAAGAAGCATCCCGGAATGGCTTTGTGTCCTTAGCAAGAATGGGTTGAGGCAACATACGCAGCAAAAAATGCTACTGTTTAAAATGGAAGTTAAGGTATTTCACCCTCTACATTTCACAATGTTGTCAAAAGATTCAGGGAATCTGGAGAAGTCTCTCCATTTAATGCGGAAAGGCTGAAACCCACAGCTGAACGCCCATGAACTTTAGTCCCTCAGAAAGCATTGCATAAAAATACGCAGCATGTTTCTGTGATGGATATCATCACATGAGCTTAGGAAAAAATTGTCAATAAACACTTTTTATTGCTGCATACATGAATTCAAGTTAAGACTGTACTATGCACAGTGGACGTCATATGCCAACAGCTTCCAGAAATGCTTCCAACCTCTCCAGGTTCAAGCTCATC